GAAGATTCCCCCTGCAGAGGCACAGGCCCGACTTACTCCTGTCCTCAGGGCCCCGTGCCAGAGGGCCCCATCTCCGAACCGCCGAGCTCCCCCTCCAGAGGCAGCGCGGCGACGGGCAGGGCGAGACCCCCCCATCCCCGCCGACGAGCAGCAGAGGCTGCCAGGCGCCGGGCCGCCTCCTCCTGGCAACCCGCCGAGACTCCCTCGAGTCGGACATGTCCCTACGCAACCCAACATCGCAAGCAATCACCTCACCACCGCAGCCCCAGACCCCATCTGCCTGCTAGAGGCCTCCGAGATGGGGTCCGAGTAGATGGGGCCGGAGGACCTCGCCGCCTCGCCGACACGTCGGCGATGCGTCGCCGCTGCATCAGCGCTGCATCGGCGACGTCGACGATACGCCAACGCCGTCCGGGTGGAGAACATCGGGCTCTGCATCGAGCCGCATCGCCTCGGCGATGCGGTGCGACCCTCCGACCCCATCTACTCGGACCCCTCTGCCCAGACCCCCGACGTCATGATTTTTCCGCTGCCTCGACCCCTGGAGGTCTCGACCCATCCCCCCCCCAGGGGCCAAACATGGCAGGCAAAACCTCCCGCCATGGTTTTGTCATTGCCCGGAGGGCCCACAGGCCCGAGGACATATGATGCTTCCCACCTGGAAGTTTTTCGAGGAGGGGGAGGAGGAGGAGGAGGAGCAGGAGGAGGAGGAGGAGGAGGAACAGCAGGAGGAGGAGGAGGAGGAGGAGGAGGAGGAGGGGGAGGGGGGGGAGGAGGAGGGGGGAGGAGGAGGAGGAGGGAGGAGGAGGAGGAGGAGGAGGAGGAGGAGGAGGAGGAGGAGGGCGGAGAAGGGGGGGGGGGAGGAGGAGGAGGAGGAGGAGGAGGAGGAGGAGGAGGAGGAGGAGGAGGAGGAGGAGGAGGAGAAGGAGGAGGAGGAGAAGGAGGAGGAGGGGGAGAAGGAGGAGGAGGAGGAGGAGGAGGAGGAGGAGGGAACAGCGCAGAAACGGTCACCACCAGAGCCCCGGACCCCACATCTGTCTGCGTCCTCCTCCGAGCCGGGCAGCTTCTCGCGAGGACCCCGTGGCCCGAGGCCTGGCAGAGGCGCCCGTCGACGTGGGTCGGGCACGTCTCCCCTACAATTGAGTCGGGCCTGTCCTCCTACAGGGAGATTTTGGACCAAAAATTAAAAATACCCCAAAAAATTCAAAAGATGCCAAAAGATACACAAACAATAGTCCCCAGACTATCTTTTGACTATTCTTGAATATTCCCCCTGTGGAGGGACATGCCCGACTTAACCCTACAATCGGATTTTGGATGTTTGAGTCCTCCTCCTGTGGAGGACGCGCCAGATGTCAACCTACAGAGCCGGTTTTGTTTTTGTTCGCGCCCACGTCCTCCTCTTGAGCAGGGACCGACCGTCCCGGCATTCCGATGGGCCTACCACGAAGTCTCCTTAGAGCCCAAACAGGTTCTCGTAAAAGCAAGGTGCTTAGAGCATAAACCCGATGCGCTTCTTTTTTTTAATGTAAAACATAGAAAAGCCCCGGCCAGAAATGTCCAAAGAACGTCTCGCGCAGACCACAAAAAAAGCTTCTCAGAACCTCCCTCTGGTGTGCCCACACAGGCACGCCGGGACGCGTCGCGCCACTGCTTCGCCGCAGCGCGGCCGCCCCGCGGCGCGGCGGGGCACGGGCCGGGCCGCGCGGCGGGGGGCCGGCGCGGCCTCTCGCCTCCGCAGGCCTGCGCCCAGGGGGGGGGGGGGGGGCGCGGCCGGGGGCGGGGGCGGGCGGCGCAGCTCGAGGCGGCCCTGGGCCAGGCGGCGGGCGGCGGGCGGCGGGCGGCCGGCGGGCGGCGGCGCGCGGCGCGCGGCGCGCTCCCAGAGACCGCCTCCTTCGCGGCAGGGAGCAGAGCCTGGCGGGAGGCTTTTTGGGGTAGGTTCGGCCTCCGGGGGGGCGCCTGCTGGCCCCTCGAGGCCGTCCACAAGACGACTCGGGAGAAAAAAAAAAACGGTCCAGGGTTCGGTCGGGCATGTCCCCCCCACAGAGAGATAACAAATTCTCCGAAGACGCTCCAAAACTTGTCGAGAATTGTCAAAAAGCATCGTCCCCAGCCTGCCTTTTCATTATTTCTGAATATTCCTCCTGTAGAGGGGCAGGCCCGACTCAAAAGTCCAGGGGAAGGGGCCAGGGCAAGGGGTCGAGACCTCCAGGGGTCGACCGCAAGGAAAAACCATGACGTCGGGGGTCTGGGTTCGGGGGCGGCCTCAATGAAGGGGCCCTGGGACACACAAATAAAGACACAGAAATACAAGGATTCCCCATACTTTCCCATATTTTCTGGGTCTTTGTCTTCCCGCCCAATTCCCATATTTTCCTTATCTTCTGGGGCATCGACGATGCCTTGTGTCTGTGTGTGTTTTTCTCCTCCTGACTTGAGAGGGGGGCGTCCAAGACGGGGCGGGGGGGGGGGCGCGCACATCGTGGCCGGCGGCACGCGCGCGGCCCACAGGGGAGGGCCGGGGACAGATTGGACAGGTTAAGAGGCGCCAGGAAAGCTGGGGAGATATCCAACCGCGGGCGATAATACACCCCCTGGGATAAGAAAGTTCGCGGTTCCAGTGGGGACAATAAAGGATCTTCCCGGGGAAGGTAAGTTATGATGATGATGATGATCTCGAGGCTCGTGGCTATTTGCCCACAGAGGCGCACGACACAAGGCCCGCACAGCTATCCTGGCCCCCCCGCCTTGATACCCCCCCCCCCCCGTCATCACCACCCTCTTTGCCGCCCCCGGAGACATGGGGGCGGAGAGGGGGGCGGTGCCAGATCCAGAGCTCCAGAGATCCATCGCCTGCAGGTGGCCGGGGCCCCGAGAGATGCTGGCGCGGCGTGCGTTATTCTCTTTACCGTGGGCGCTCTTGGCCCGGCTTCGGGCCCCACGGGCCCTCACGGATGTTGGCCCGGCTCGGAAGGTGACGCAGCATGGTGGGGTCCGGGGCTTCTGTGGTGCCTGCTCGCGAAGTTGTATCGTCACGATCTGAGGGGAAGCGGCCCTGGGCCAGGATGGATCCAGCCTCCCCAGGGCAATGTACATGCACTCCCAGACCTTCTGTAGGACCCTGGAGGCATGGGGCGATGAGAGACCCCGATGGTGACCCTGCAGGCAGGCGGGGTTCCTGTTTGATTTGCCTACTGCAGGTGAAGCTCCTTTCGGTGGCAACTCATGGGGGCCTCCCATACCGTCTTGTCCGCTCTTGCGCATCGACGCGAATCGACGCTAATCGACGCTACATCGGGGCTACCTCATCGACTCCCGGACGCTAATCGGCACTAATCGACGCTAGAAACGGAAGTAAGAAGGCAGATCAGGCTCCCATGATTTGCTACCGAAGAAGCGTATGCCCAGGACGGCGAAGAGGGGGGAGGAGAAGAAGGATGAATGTGTAAGGCGTGGCACCAAAAAGATGAATTCAGGACCCGGTTCTACATGAGGCTTGCCAAGAGCACCCTAGGAGTCCAGGCGTGCTAAACATCAAACAGTGCATGTCACACTGCAGCGGCAACGAGACGCCTTTGGCCCATGATGGACGCTTGCTGAACCAAGACGTCACGACATCCGCCACGGCTCCAGATTCGAATGTTCGCACGGACCGAGAACTGCAATCACCTCGTAAACGGACGACGCGTGAAAGGCATCACCGAATTTGCATGCCGCTGAGACCAAGCACCCGGTCATGAACATCGGCGTTCTCGTCCGAAGCAGCTGGACGGCAACCTTGCCTGGAAGACTGGAGGCCTCCTGAATGGGGCCCGAATAAGTGGAGCCGACGGATCGCGCCGCATCGCAAACGCATCGCCGATGTATCGCCGATGCATCGGCGATGCATCGGCCACGTCGGCGATGCAACGACGGCGTCGGCGTGGGGAGACACGGGCTCCACATCGAGCCGCATCGGCGATGCATCGGCGATGCGGTGCGAGCCTCTGACCCCATCTGCTCGGACCCCATCCAAGAGCCCTAGGATCAGGTCGGGCGTGTCCTACAGGGGGACTGTGGAGGAAAGGTAATACAGAGTCAAAACATACGCGCGAAATTAAATAAAACAAATGGTCCCCAGACGATTATTTCACTATTTTTGAATGTGCCTCCTGTACAGGGACAGGCCCGACCTAAGCCTAAGGAGGGCACGCCGAGGAGAGGCGGGCCCGCGCCCCCCGAGAGGTGCGAGCCAGGGGCCCCGCAGGGTCCTGTGAGGGCCCCGTTCGGAGCCCGCGGGTTCCCAAAAGGAGCCCCGCAGGGCCACTTTGGGGCCTTCTTTCTTCACCCCCACGTGTGGGTCACCCCCCCTAACCTAGGGGAACAACAAGTGACATAAACATAAAAAACCACGGAGGTCCGCGCGGGTTTCTCGGATCGGCGCTGGGGCCCCCCGGCGGCGCCGGAGGCGCCGCCCCTGGCGCGCTCCGCGCGCCAGGGAGGGAGGTCCAGCGCCGATCCGAGAAATCCGCGCGGACCTCCGAGTTTTTATGTTTATGCCACTTTTTGTTCCCCTATAAGCACCCGCCAGGCCAGATCGATGCCAGAAATCCGTGACCTCTTCCCTGGAGGGTAAGCACGCTCTCGCCCGGGATCCACTCGCCATCGCTCGGACGTCTCTTCCCCGTTGCACGTTTTTCGCTTTCGCGCGTGCCCGTTTTGCTCGATGACCCACAGGACGCTCCTCGATGGCCCTCGCCGCGACTAATGTGGGGGGCCCAAGGACACACAAATAAATACACACAAACAAACGTATTCCCCATATTTTCTATATTATCAGGGTTTTTGCCTTCCCGCCCAATTTCATATTTTTCCATATTTTCTGGGGGATCGACGATTAATTGTGTCTGTGTGTTTTTTCCCCCTCCTGAACTGAACGCACACGTCCGATCGGTGCCAAGTCACTCTCCGACCGCCGCCTGGCCCAGACGCGGCCCCCCGTGCGGCCCTGAGCCGCCGGCCGTCGTCCGGGCCGCTGCCCCCGCCGCACGGCGCCTCCTGGTCGGCGCCCTTGCCTGCGTGGAGGGCGAGGAGGGTTATGCTGCTAGGGGGCCACATGCAAACCCCACCCCTACCCCCCAACGATTTCTGAGGGGGAGGGTGGGGTTCACTTCGTTCGGGAAGCCCCCCGAGCGAAGTGAACCCCACCCTCCCCCTCAGAAATCGTGGGGGGTAGGGGCAGGGTTCGCATGTGGCCCCCTAGTTGCTCCCATCGTACTTCAGGACCAGATCCCATACATAATTTCGAGCTTGCAATCAAGGCCAAAGTAAGCGGGAACAGCATCAGAGGAGGGAGCGTCTAGCCGCCCCGATGCGCGACACGCAGGCCGTAGCGTGCTGCCACGGAGCTCGACGCGCAGATTGAAGACACGCACGCCTGGCGCGGCAGGTCCGCCACACCATGGGCCGGCACGGGGAGCCACCGCGCACGATGCTCAGGACGGACAGTTCGAACACGGCACGTGGTGCGCTTCCACACGGGCGTACCAGGGCAGCTCAGGGAGGGAGGGAGAACGACGCCGCCGCAGATCGGAGAAGGATCGATGTGAACAGATCAACAGTTGGAAGATCGAGGCCGTGACCGGCGGAGGAGGAGGAGGAGGAAGAGGAGGAGGACTCTGGAGGGGAACGGGGGATCGAGGGCCGAGGCCAGAGGAGCGAGGCCATAATGGGCCGAGGCCAGGCCGAGGTCGAGGCTAGACTTATGTTGTTCACATCCTACTTAAGGACCACATCCCAAAAATAATTTCGAGCACCCAGAAACATGTCGAAAGAGTGTCGAAATAATGTCGAAACAATGTCGAAACAGCGTCTCCCAGGGCCCGGCACGTGAAAACCCTCGAGTGTTTGGGTTCTTTTCTGGCGCTCGAAATTCTTGCTGGTGATCAAGGCTAGAGTAGGTGGGAACATCTAGAACCTCTGGGAACCGGGAAATTTGGACGGGTCTACGAGGTTGACTCACGTTTGTGGCGCTTCTCGCGAGCCTTCGAAATCTTCCACCTCTTGACCAAACTTAGGTCGGGCATGTCCCCCTACAGGCGGATCTTGCAGGACACGTTTAGAAACAGACGCAAAACTGCTCAACCAACGAATGCCCCAAAATACGCCAGGCATCGTCCCTAGACTTCTTGCTTGACTGTTTCTGGACGTTCCCCCTGTAAAGGGACAAGCCCGACGTACGACCGAAACAAGCAGCGAGGCGAAGCACGAGGGCCACGCGGGCCAGCGCACGCGGCGCAGCGCCTCGAAAGGGACCCCGCTGCACACCACCGGAGGAGAAAGAGGGGGGGGATAACTGGAGGACGGAGAGGCGAAGGAAGGGGGAGGAGGAGGAGGAGGAGGAGGAGGAGGACGGAGAGGAGGATGAAGGACGGAGAGGAGAGGGAAGGGGAAGAGGAGGACGGAGACCACCAGGGATAATTGGAGGACGGAGAGGAGAGGGAAGGGGAAGAGGAGGAGAAGGGAAAAGAGCGGGGGGGGGGGGGAATGAGGAGGAGGGGGGTGGAAAGTGGGGAGAGACCAGGAGGAGCAGGACGATCCTCGGACCTCCATCATCGAGCTCCTGCTCTTCCTTCTTACCCTCCTCTGTCCCTCTCCTCCTCTTCCTTCTCCTCCTCCGCAGCTCTCCTTCTCAAACGCATTGGGGATTTAGGTTGTTGGACTTTTTATGCTCGCCCTTCTGGATCCTCGGGAACCTCTGGAGATCTCCGAGAGGTATATCGAAACGGAAAGGGTCCCAAGGAGAGAAGGGGGGGGTGAATGTCCACGGGGGCGGGCAGAGGAAGTGGAGGGGGAAGGGGTGATTTCGGAAAGGCGTGTACTAAAACTGGAGAGGGGGTTGACACAAGGGGGATGTAGGTGACTGGCTACCTGTATCTGCTTTCCGCTTCCCTGTGCACCTCGAAGAAGTAAGTGGGCAGTGGGGCCGAAACCAACTGCATACAGCATGCAGCATCTTTGGCTACCCCGTTTTCTCACCCAGCGACCCCCCTCACGAACCGAGAGACGAGTACGTGGACAATTGAGAGACATCTGGGAGGGAAGAGATGGGCAGGGAAGGGGTATGGGCAGGGAAGGGGAAAGGAAGGCGAGGGCGAGGTGGGGGGGATGGACTGTGCACGACGGAACAAGTGGCGGAAAGGCAACCAAACGGTTGTCTCACGAACGGGCAGCCAAAGTAAAGCTCACAGGTGACAGACACGTCATCCTCTGATCCTCCCTCCCCTCCCTCCTCGTCCACCCCATATCCCCTCCCTTTTTCTCCTGCTGTTGCTGCTGCTGCTGCTCCTCCTCCTCCTCCTCCTCCTCCCCTTTCTTTCCCAGAGACTCCAGGGACCACCGAAGACCTGAAAGGCCCTCGGTCCATCCTCGGTCCACAAGCTCTCCAACCCCCCCTTCCCGCCCACCTCCTCCTCCTTTCCCCATCGTCCGCCGACCTCCCCTCATCCAGGGACCTCCCAGATCACCCCCCTCCACTCCGTCCTTCCTCCTCCTTCCTCCACCCGTCTCTTGCGCATGCGTCGTTCCCCTCCCGAGCGCAGGACCCTCAATCCTCGCACCTCGGGCCTCGAGGAGGACCCGTGCGACTCCTGGGCGGGCGCTCTCCCCCCGAGTCCTCTGGCAGCTCGCGCGGGGGTCGGGCCCGCCTGCGGCGGGGAGCCGCGCCCGCTCGAAGGGCAGCCTCTGGAAGAGGCGCGCGTCCATGCCACCTGCGCGCAAGGGAGGAGGAGGAGGAGGAGGAGGAGGAGGAGGAGGAGGAGGAGGAGGAGGAGGAGGAGGAGGAGGAGGAGGAGGAGGAGGAGGAGGAGGAGGAGGAGGAGGAGGAGGAGGAGGAGGAGGAGGAGGAGGAGGAGGGAGGAGTGCGCGCCAGGGTTGGGCGCCCGAACCATCCGGCACGGCTCTCCAGCCCAGGAGCACTCCGGCGGGGGATGCCGAGAACGCCGGTCCACAGCTCAGCTCCCGTTCGGGCCCCCGCGAGGCACGAGGCGGGAGCGCCTCTCGACCCCCCCCCCCGCTCCGCCCTGACGGCTCGGGGCTCTCCGATTGTGTGGTTCGGCTCTGGCAGCGTTTCCCTGCAGCAGCGGTGCTTCTGCCCAGTTGGGAGCTCGACCAGAATGACTCTCCTGGGTCCCAGATGGGAAACAGTGGCCAGGGATGGGCCGATGTTGACCGATGACTCCTGGGTGCCAGGTGGGAGCTGGTGGCCAGGGCTGGGCCGATATTGACCGCGCTGTACTGGGCAGTAGCGTGATGCACTTCCACGCAAGACGCCCGCCCCCTCCCCCCCCCCCGCATCCTCAAAAATGCCAGAGTGTATGGGCATGTTGTCCTAACCACCCCGCGCCGTCCCACGAATAGAAGCGAGGTGGATGCGATTATCTTCATATTGATGCTGTCGTTGTCTGCTCATGTTTCACTCTGTGTCCTCCTCTTACTCCTCCTCGTCCTCTCATCCAGCCCCTCTTCAAGCACTCCACCCCCCCTCCCCCATTGACACTCTGATGCGCAGGCCATGGCAACATCGTAGCAGGGGCGGGGGAAGGGGGGGGGGCATGCCGCAACACCAGTTGGGAGTCTGGTCGGGGCCTCTTGGGGCACCGTTTTGACATAAGAATGTGGATCATGCTGGATATCGTGGGATGGGCCTCTAGGCGTCGCGAGGACGAGACTGAGTTGGCTTCGGATCGTTGGGGAAGTCCTTGGGCGTTCCTGTTTTTACGTAGTGTGTTTACGTAGTGCCTTTTTCATGTGCAAGTCCTATCTCACCATTCACATTTTTATTTCACCATTCTGCATAACCGTCGTCACGGAGCCTTCAAAAGAACAACTTTCTGTGCTGGGGGCCTCAGTAGGCACTCTCGGGCTGTGGTTTGGGGCTCGTGGGCCCGCCTGGGGGGGGCTCTTGTTGCGTTGTGTATGCCTGCCTGTGGGGTCCTTCGTGCAAAACTCTGCGATCACTCCAGCTCTCTCTCTCTCTCTCACTCCCTGTCTTTTTCAATATCTTTCTCTCTCCCTCACTTTCTCCCTCTCTCTCTCTCCCTCTTTCTTGGTTTCTCTCTCTCTCTCTCTATCTATCTCTCCTCGTGCTACCCCTTTGTTACGCCTGCATGCCTCCCTTTCCTCGTACGGGGACGTCTGTAGAACCACCACACACTGCCAGGCAATAGTAGTCCAATAACCTCTCGTGAGAGTGGGTACCTAGCACTGCCAGACGCAAGCCGCTATAGCATTATGGATCAAATTCTGGTAAGGGTATTTCTCATACTGTACTGAGAATATTGCCAGGCTTCAGATTTCTACGTATCTCGGGCTTGGTGAACCCCAAACACTGCCAGGCGCGAGCAGCTTCGGGGAATTTCGGATTCGCGGAATAACCACACACGCATAGACACGCTGCCATGCCCAATGCATGAACAGTGATTGGGTTATTGGGGGACCACCCATCAAGGCAATGCCCAGGTAGTTTAGGAACGTCTCGCTTTGGGGACCACCCGCTGTACACAGGCGGAGGCATTGTGGGTGATTCTTTCTGCGGTAGCACCCGACACTGCTTGCCGCAGCGTGGTCGCGCTTTCCTGTTCAATTTTTTGGGGGTCCGCCGGCCACTTGCAGGAGAGATTTTCAGAAAGCAACGGTTGACTGCCACCCGGAGCAGCATACATGAAATACCTGCGCCTGGAAGCGTCTGACGGTCATCCAATCCACAAAATACCTGCGCCGTGCAGTGTTTGGGCCCCGCCAAACTGGATCACCCAAGACTGCGCCTGGCAGCGCTTGGCGACCTCCCATGGTTAAAGCAAGGAAACACCTGTCCCCAAGGCCTGACAAACCTGCGCCTGACCGTGTGTGAGATCACCCCAAGCACTAAACTATTTGAACCACTGTGACTGGCAACGGTTGGCGGTCCTCCAAATTTGTAGCGCGTAAGCTACCAGAATACATCAACGTGTGATGGTCCCCCAAATCAGAAGAGTGCGAAACGGCTTCGAAGGCAAAGGCTCTGGTGGCATCTCCGCCCGCTTGCGCAGTCTCTTTACATCCCCTTCAACTCCTTCAAGAGATTCCCGGGTATTGTCTGCAGATCATCCAAATATTCCCCTGAACGGTCAAAGGGGGCTGCTGGGAAGGTCGGCAATCATAGATCGAACAATTTCCAGCAGATTGGGATGCTGCAGGCTGTCGGCGTTCCAAGCAGGCGCGCCGATTGCCCCAGGCCCCCATCGCGTTCCCCGCCCCTCGACCATTCGGACGACGTCGAAACTGCATTCTCACGCGCACATGGCCATGCACTCGCATACTAGTAATCCAGCAGCCCTAATCAAGACACGGCGGCACTAAGTTTGAAAGCACCTGCGACCCCTCACTGTAAGGGCGCAGGCTTGCCCTGCAACCCCTCATGCAAGGTTGCAGGTTCGCCCCGTTCAGTCTTATATGGTATTCGAATGAGAGGTGTTGAGAGAGAGAGAGAGAGAGAGAGTGAGAGAGAGAGAGAGCATAGACACATCCATATATGAAGAGGGAGATGGAGGGGGGGAACAACATAACCGAAAGAGAGACACAGAGAACGATAACCAAAGAGGAAGAGAAACAGCGAGAAACAGAGACAGAGAGAGAGAGAGACAGACCGACACAAAGATATGAAATAGGGAGAGGGACATACAGAGATACAGCGAGGGAGGGGAGGAGAGAAAGAGAGAGAGAGAGAGATAGGCAGACTGTGTGACAGGCAGTCAGACAGAGACAGGCACACAGAAATGCAGAGAGAGAGAGAGGGAAAGACTGAGAGAAGGAGGGACGCAAAGAAGGAGAGGTCGAGCGAGAGGGAGCGAGAGAGAGAGAGGGAGACGATGGCACAATATGGGAAAGAGAGAGAGAAAGGTGTGAGACCGATGTTCAGCGAAAACTGCACCTTACAATGAAGGGCTCCTGGGCGCACTGAATGAAGGGTTGCAGGTTTTCTGGGGCTGGCGCAAGGCGATACCAACTCAGTGTCTTCACGAGGGCCGTTGGAGTAGGTGCACATGCGTGCAAGGTGGACGAGAGGGGGGCTCGCCTGTCTGGCCTTCGATGTCGCTGCAAACGGCCAACGCATTCCTCAGGGAGCACATCCGGAACTTCGGCTCATAGTAGAAACCGCCGCAGTCTCGGCGGGGCGGGAAACAACACGCAGGGAGACGACGGGGCGTGGACGAAAGAAGCGAACATAAGGGACAAGGAGGAGGAGGACGACGACTACGACGAGCAGGAGGAGGGAAAGAACCAAGCACAGAAGATGGGGAGGGGGAGATCAGGATGGTGGGTCCGAAGAGTAGGGCTCCGAGCATTGCTCGAAGAGCCGCTCCCCAGCGCCCTGCCTGCTGCTCCGTCTGGTGATCCTCCTCGTCGTCTTCCTCCTCCCTCACCTCCTACTCCTCCCTTGTTCCCCAGACCTCCTCCGCAGCCTCCCTCCTCCAGATCCAGCGCTCCCAACCACCTCCTGCTCCTCCCGCTCCCCCTCCCGCTCCCCCTCCTGCTCCCCCTCCTAATCAGCAGCCTCCAGCTGCTGATGCTGCTCCTCCTCCCCGCCTTCCTCCTCTCGGGCGTTGGCAGAACTGGGTTTGGTGGGACCTGGTTCAGTGACGTGTACTGGGGGACGCCCGTCGGCCCTCCAAAGGTGGGGCCGTGAGACGTGGGGCCCTGAGGTGAGGAGGACTTGCGCACGTCAAGATCAGCCTGGAAGCCCATTCCTGCTCTTACGACAGCAGAAGAAGAAACGCCAGAAGCATGAACTTTTGGCGCTCAGCGCGGATTTCCTGGATCTGCGCTGGACCCCCTTCCCTGGCGCGCGGAGCGCGCCAGGGGCGGCGCCGGAGGCGCCGCCGGGGAGGCCCAGGCGCGGATCCGAGAAATCCGCGCGGAGCGCCAAAAGTTGATTTTTATGGCGTTTTTTCCCTCTTGGATTCGAAGCCCCATATCCCTCAGGTCCCCGCCTTCGAAGCCCCGCTCTGAGGCTGCTCCTGCCGCTGCGGCGCTGCCGGCGTGTGGTCCAGGACAGCAGGCTGCGCACTCTTGGACTGCCTGGAAGCCCTTTCGAATGGTTGTGGGGCGATTTGGGAGCCTCCCAGGCGGCTTCGGACGCCCAGAAGACCGCCGTCTTGAAGCGTCGGGAAGCCGAAAAGAAGAGAACCCCAAAATTCACCAAAAACCCATAGAATATCAATGATTTTTGCCTCGGGGGGCCTTCTTGGGAGTGCTCTTGGAGGCCTCTTTGGGGCCGTCCTGGAGGCCTCTTGGGCCATGTTGAGGTCACGTCGGGCACTCTAGGAGCGCTCTTGTGCTGTCTTGGGGATCTCTGGGACGTCTCCGATGACCCCCCTGATCGCCCTAAGTGTGCTGGGAAGGCTTGGCAAAACGCCTTGCGAGGCCCAGTGGCCGCTTCGAGGCCCGTCCGGAGGGCCCCAAAGCCCCAGGTCCCGGGAGTCCGGTTTTTTTGGGGGGGTGACGGGTTTTCCCCCGCCCGGGCTTATACAAATATGGGAAGAGGAATACTGCTACTGAGGTGTACAGGTCAATCTTGAGACTGGAAGATCCTTCTGCCCGTGGGTGAATACCGACATCAATGGGTAGGTTGTGAGATTAATTAGTAGACAATGAGGTCGATCTCTCTCTCTCTCTCTCTCTGAATATTTACAGATCGAATGGCAGGTATGTCGCAAAACCAATAGATAGCGAAGTCGATATAAATATCTATCTGGTTCTAGAAACACTTATGTGTGTGTTGTGGACGCGATCAAACGTCAAGCGCAAACAGACAGCTGCGCCCATTCCCCCCGACCCCGCTGGCTTATCACCCGAATGGCGGTCCATGAGGTGCGAACTAGATGCCCAGTGAATCTGGAGGCATCTGTCTCGCCTTTGTTCAGCTTCGTCAGGCAGAGAGGCACCGAACGGCTTTACTTCTCTCCGGTCTTCTGGGGGCGACACTTGGACGCAATACGCGGGGGCGATACATGGGGGCAATACATTCGGCCAAACTTCGGGGCAATACTTGGGAGCAGCACGTGGGGGACGCACTTGGGGGCGATACGTGGGGAGCAATACATGGGGGCAGCACATGGGGCCAGCACTTGGTGGCAATAATGGTGGCAATAACTTGAGCAACACATGTGAGCAGTACATGGGGCCAGCGCACGGGAGCAACACATGAGGGCAATTGGTGAGGGCAAGACATGGGGGTGATACGCGTGGGGAGCACCCGAGGGCGACACGTCCGGGCGATACATGGCTCCAACATCTCCCGCCCCCTCCCTCGTATCCGACAGCGCGGGGTGCTATTTTCGAGTCGTCGGGGAATCAGGCATTTCCGCAAGACACCTGCTGACTGGCTGGTTTCTTGTTTGACGTGCCTGCTGTGCTGCAGAAGTGCCTCCCCGTCTCCTGCCACGTCGCGCCTTCGCTAGCATCGCAGAGCATGGCGCACTGGAGAACGCTGAGGTCGACGAGGCACGAGAAGCTGCTGGAGCAGGTTGTGGTGCCGTTGACCTGACAAAGACAACAACAGAAGGGAAGAGGCGGATAAAGAAACGAAGGGAGAAGTTAGTGTAGCAGCGCTTGCTAGAAGGAGAAGAGAACGGAGGGATGTGCAAGCAAGGCGTCCCATATTGTAGATCGTGTTGTCAGACTTCCTCTCTCGGCTTTGCCAGGGCACTCCTGAAAAGGTAAGACATGAAATAGATCACGATCATACCAACAGTCCGTCGCCGCCTCGTCGCCGCCCGTCACCACCTCGTCGCCGCCCGTCGCCGCCGCCTCTTCGCCGCAGTGCATTGCACCACGTTGCTTGCACCACACATGTGCACCAAATAAACTGCATCACATCTATTGCTTGACATAGACTGCACCACATCGATTTCACCAGACAACATGCACCACGCACACGTAGCTCACACCCCAATGATTGCAGAACGTCGTAAACTCCTCATAGACTGCACCACATCTATTCTAGACTCGACCCCCCTCCGGAGAACATCACCTCCCGATCGGAATTCGATGTGGATAATACTGGGTTCATGTTTCAACCTTTTTGGGCTGTTATTGGAACCATCGGAATCCGATGAAATCTGGTTGGGGCCTTGTGAGTCCCAGGACCCCCCAGTATCCGCAAGAATCCTTCTCAAAATTCTTTCCGTGAGCCTTCAAGAAGCATCCGAAACCTTCAGAATCCATCAGAATATCCCAGGAATCCTCCAGCAATCTTCCCAGAATCCTTCAGCGATCCTCGACGAATTCTTCAATAATCCCCAAAGAATCCACAAGGATCCTCAGTGCTCAGGAATCCCCAGGGACCCCACGGAATCCTGCAGGAATCGTCTGGATTTCGGTGGGGACTGGAAAGCGTCCTTCAGGGACCATTTCGGAATCCGAAAAATCTGTCAGGAACCCTCAGGAATCCTTCAGGAATCTTCAATACTCCTCAGGACACTTCTGGAATCCAGAAGGATCCTGTGGGATTCTTATGAATCCCTCAATCACCTGTCCGTGATCCTTCCGAACTCCTCCAGGGATCCTTCAGGAATCCTTCGAGTATCTTCACTAATTCTCACGCAACCAAAGGCACCCTGCGAGCATCCTGGAAGAATCTCTAGGCATCCTGCAGGAACGGCCAGGAATCCTTCAGGAAACATGATTGGATCCCTAGGGATCTGCAGGACACCCGAAGAGTTTGCATTAGGCTTTCCGGAATATTCCAACATAATCTTATAAGCATCCTGAAGCGATCTTGTTGGAATCCTGCTCTCACCGTGGCGCGCTCAGGGCAGGGGCGGACCATGATATAGTTTCGTCGGAATGCGGGGGGGATAATCGCAGTCGTCGGCAAATCGAATGAATCGCGGCGCCGCAGCAGGAAAGAGAGAAAGGGAGAGGCAAAACGTGGGGCGAAGGAGGAGCAGTAGAGTGACAAAGTGGGAAGTCCTCGAACCCCTGTGCGAGCAGTTGCCAGCCACGGCAGCCAGCGTCGACGAAGGAAGGGGAGGAGGACGGGGAGGAAAATGACGAGGAAGAGGGACCCAGAACTCCGACGTCGTGGCCCCAGAACTCTCGACCCCATCCTCGGTGTTTTCTTTTTGGCGCGGGCGCGCTGGCCGTTTTTGTTCCTTCGCCTGTTCCCCTCAATCGACCAGACCTAGAGGCCCAGTACGGCCCCACGAAAACTGAAAGGCGCCCACTGTGATGATTTCGCGACGCCCAAGCCACAAGCCGATCCGCACACGTGTCCCAGAGTGCGCTCCGACAAAAAATCTAAGCGGATCCAGGTGTGGCCACGAAGGCAAGGCGCTCAGGGAACCTCCAAACCCGAGTTTTCACGTACAGAAGCGATCCTCGACCCTCTGGCGTCGATCCTGCTGTGTTTTGCGATCCGGCTGTGGATACGAGGGCGACGCCGAAGGCCCCCCAACATAACAACACCAAATCCAGACCACCAGCGTCGTGATTTGGTCACAAGGTGGACCCCGAAAGGCCTCCACTCCTTCGAGGACCAGCTTCTGAAGGCAGCACCAGGCTCTGGAAGGGTTTCCAGTGGCAGAGAATACAGTGAGAGCATGTCGGGACGCCTCAATCGTCGATCCACGAGCCTCGATCGAGGAGGGACGATCGAGGGAGATAGGCTCAGGGAGGGGGACCCACACCCGGAATCTGCGATACATTGGAGAGGCCCCCAGTAGCGAAGCCGCACGTTCGTGGACGGGGAAGGCGATCGAGCCCCTCTAAGCAATGAGTAGGCGATTCAGAGTCGATGCGTCCACCCCCGAATGTCGCCGAGGAGGAGAAAGGAAGAGGATGCGGAGGAGGATGAGGAGGGGAAGGAGGAGGAGGAGGAGGAGGAGGAGGAGGAGAAGGACGAGGAGGAGGACGAAGCGCAGGAGGAGGGGGATGATAAGGAGATGAGAAGAAGGAGGAGGCGAGGGAGGAGGAGGAGGAGGAGGAGGAGGAGGCAGAGGAGGAGGAGGAGGTGGATGAGGAGGAGGAGGAGATCCAGCCTTCCTCTCGCGGGGTCGCGAGGAGGAGAAGGAGGAGGAGTAGGAGGAGGAGGAGGAGGAGGAGGAGGAGGAGAGGAGAGGAGGAGAGGAGGAGGAGGAGGAGGAGGAGGCACAGAAGGAGGAGGAGGAGGAGGAGGAGGAAGAGGAGGAGGAGGAGGAGGAGAAAGAGGAAGAGGAGGAGGAGGAGGAGGAAGAGGAGGAGGAGGAGGAGGAGGAGGTCGACGAGGCAGCAGAACAGCGACCCTGCCTTCGATCCTTGGCCACACGCTGACCCCACACGCCCAAGTGTGACAGAAGATGCCCCTGGTGATGAGCCAGGCCCCTGGGACGGCAAACAGGCGCCAAGCCGCCGCACCGACGTTCGACACAGCCTATCGCCCCCTATCGTTGCCCCGAATCGATCCTGTCGGGGAGACGTGAGACGCGGGTACGGGGGACTCGGGTTGGCCTGACGGGGTCATCATGAAAATGAAGAGACCACATCAGAAGTTTGACGCGACCTCCCGCTGCAGACAGCCCACGAAAACTGGGCCGTAACAAAAATCCAGGACGCGCTCGTCAAAAAACGTCGGCAGACCCGAGTTCCGGCTTACTCGAGTCTTACCTGTCCCCGTCCCGTGAGCAGGGACCGACCGTCCCAGCATTTCTGTAGGCCTATCACGAAATGTTCTGAGAATCTAAAAGTGTTCTTATAACAAAGACACGGTTCCTAGAACAACAGCCCGATGTGTGAAAACAAGACAGCCTCCGCCAGACATGCTCCAAAAACATGTCGTGCAGACAACAAAAGGTTCTTAGAACATGCTTCGGCCTATAGGCGAGCCAGGGCGCTTCGCCACTGCTTGCAATCCTGGCCCCCCTCCCCTGTGCACCGGCACGTACTCTCCCAGCACGCCGTCGAGGTGCCCGGTCCGCAGGGAGGCGCGGGCGAAGGCCCCCGCCGGGGTGAGCTGGGCGGCGTGCCAGGCACCTCGGCAAAGGAAGCGGGGCGGCGCCGAGCTGCGGGCACGCGCGCACGCGCGGGGCCGTGCATCCAGCAGAACCAGTGCCTCCTCCTCCTCCTCCTCCTCCTCCTCCGCCTCCTCCTCCTCCTCCTCCTCCCAATCCTCCTCCTTCTCCTCCTCCTCCTCCTCCTCCACCTTCTCCTCCTCCTCCTCCTCCACCTCCTCCTCCTCCCCCTCCCAGGAATTGGGTGGACTACGGGCGAGAAATCGACAGCGATGAGGAAGGGGGATCGAGCAGTTTGGTCAAGGACACACGCACACAAGGCATACGCCAGGGGCGCGTGGACGCTGACAGTACTGTACAACGCTGTGCTGCCACATGCGCTGATGATGCACAAAGTCAGAACTCAGCTTGGCACGAGATGATCCTCTCCGTGCCATGGTCGTCCACTCATTGCGCGGGCGCCCACATCGCTTGACATACCGCTGCGAAGCTGGGATGGTGGTGTTCGGGACGAACGTATAACCTTTAAGAGTTAGCGCAACACCTCAGCTGGACAGGAGGAGTTGCACGAGGAGCAGGCAGTGGGCAATCACAGATGGGACAGATCGTGAACTGAAGTCGTGGGGATCGAGGTCCGAGGGTTTCTCCGCGCTGTTGGCCCTCTCAGGCCGGGCATCCCTCCGAGTATGTGACGACACCCGTCCTTGAACTGTAGCAGCTTGATGTCCGACACAACTCTCGAAACGTGGCACGGAGAAGCTGTAGCATTGGCCCATGGCGTGCTCAAGCCCTTTCTCTGTTATCTGACGGTTCCCCACCGTGAGTTCCTGAACCCCCACTAGCCCTCTGGGCGTGAATAGTTTAAAGGGTTTCCTCTTCCATCCTCCCCATCTTCCCCTTCGGGGAGAGCTGCATCACTGTTCCCTGCTACAGTCGGACTTGATTGGAGAGGACACGCGAGAGGACAAAATACCCTTTTCCGAGGGGCACACTGCCATAGGAATATGGGAGGCATGGGTCGCGAGACACAGGACACAAGGGTACCCTTGACTTGGCAGGGTCGAACTACTAATCCGGGCCGACTGCAGTAAACACGCCCACCCACAGGCAACCGGCCGCCAGCCCGAACGCATGCCAACACCGCCCCACAGCATCCCGATCAGACAACAGTCATACAACATGTATACGCTGCCGCCACAAATCTGGAGCATGCGCGGGCGTCCTGGCCACTTCGCACTGGCTTTTGACAGGGACGGCGGGGGGGGGGGCTCAGAGGGGGAGCTCGGACTGCTTGCTGCGCGCAGGCCACCAATCGGCGCCGTCCTTGGACTGGCCGTCGTCGTCGTCGTCACCATCGCCTCTGCTGCCGTCATGCCTCCGCCGCCGCACGCGCCGCCATGCTACCGCGCGCCCGCTGGAGCCACCGCCCCGCGCCGTGAAGTGCCCGCGCGCGCCCGCGCGGCCCGTGAGAGACGCGGCGGGGAAAGCCCCAGCGATCAGCGCCGGCGCGTCCGCGTCGCTCGTGGCAACCTGGCTGGCATAACCAGCCTCGACCTTATCCCTATCCCTAAGATGGGCGAGCAAAACGCAAGGACAGTCTTAGGGATAGGCCCTAAGAAACTGAGGGAATCCTCAAGATCGACATCGAGGTGAGGTGATGTCAAACATAGGGATAGGGATATGTTTCAAACTGGTAATGGCAGCTCTGCGCGCGAACCTGCGTGCGCGCCGCGCGGCCGCAGCCATGCCAGGCAGCCGTCGTCGCAGTCGCCGCCGCAGGGGCTTCGGCAGCCAAGCTGCGGGCGGGAGGGCGGGACGACTGCGCGGGCACCGGAGTTGACAGCATCAAGTTCTGCACGGTGGATTGCACTACATAGGTTGCACCACATGTATTGCTGAGCATAGACTGCAAAACAGATGGCCATCGGTGGGAAGAAGTAGGTGGAAACATGAAGTAGGGAGGCGTTGAACATATATTGGACTCCGTCCACCCGCTGAGGAGGACGGAGAAGGTGAAGCCACTCGATCATTGAATTAGGAAGCGCTTAAAGCAGATTGGAATCTGGGAATCCAAAAATCTCTACTGTCAACGGCGGATGGGTACTGCCAGTTACATGCGACTTAGGTGTTGGGCAAATGATGGCCTCCTTGGGGGATGGGCCTTATGATTGAGAACGCCTCCTTTTTTGATCGATCTCTTCCAAGATGGCCCCCAAAGCTCCCAAGAGTCCCAAGAGGTCCCCCAGAGGCTCCCAAGAGACCCCCAATATGCCCCAAGAGGCTCCCCCAAGGCACCCAAGACGTTCCAAGAGGCCCCCAGGACCGCCAAGAGCCCCCAAAGAGGCCCGAAGAGGGCTCTCAGAAGCTTTCCCCTTCCCCCTCCTCCGACGGCGACTTCTCCTCCACCCTCCAGCTGTTGGGGTATGACTGCTTCCCCAGCCTGTTATTCCACTGATTCTCCGACGCATCCCTGATCAGGGCCACTCGCCTGGGCATCGTTCCTGGATGGTCGCGGCCGCGAGCGAAGAGCGCAGGCGGCGATAGAACTTGTCCGGGGCTGCGAAGCCAGTGGGGTTCCGCGAAGCGTCTAGAAGAGCCGGATGGTCACAATGCGGACAGGCATGGAAGAGGAGGCAGACCCCGCATGCAGTAGGACAGCGCCTGCACTGTCGGCACCCGTCTTCAGCATGGAACACGAAAGCGTGGCGTCGTCCGAAATTGCCCAGCTCACGTCCCAAATGTTGTGCATGCGGAAGAAATCCAGCCACTCGGTGGCCGCGTCGAAATCTGGCCTGGTGCATACGGCGCACATCCGCAGATGAGAGGACTAGCATCAGACACCCCGCTTGGCAACAAGATGTCATGTAGAACCGTAGAGCGGTCCCGCAGAAACCACAAAAGGGAGACAGTGGATGATGCAGTTGGGGAGGATCATGACAAGGAGAACGGAGGGGTGGATGTCACAGAGAAGACGGAGGCGCAGGAGGAGGGGGGGAGACACCGTAGGAAGAGCAGGGGCACGACGAGAAGGACTGGACCCCATGCCCCCAACACCTAAAGCCCAACATGACCCACCCCCAAAATCGCAAGCCACGGGGAATCAAACGGCGCCCGGCTGCATCCCAAGCCCTTCGGCATATCCTGGCGTCGCGGTCCACCGGGACAGACCTGGTCTGGGAAAGAGCCTGTTCGGGGTCCCCAAGAGTGATCTGGGAAAACCCTGGATACACTTGATCCAGAAGAACTCTTGCTTCAGAAGTATTTCCTGAAATAGTGACTGCCCTTAGGGTTCCTTCCATTTTTTCACAGAGCAGTGCTTCCACTCAGGGCTACACATCGGGCATGCCCTCCCACAGGAAGATTCTGGGAGAAGCATTCGAAAGTATTTTGCCAAGCAGCCAACGATCGTCCACACCTCGTCCCCTGACTTTGGTCTACTCTTCTGGAATACTCCTCCTGCAGAGGGACACGCCCGACGTAAACTCAAGGTTTCATCCGAATTACCTTCTCCGACCAGGTCTCGCACATCGGGTTCCTTACGCCGCCGACGTAATGCACCGGATTACTTGGGGCAAGGTTCCGGCGGGAACCCAGTTGGTGGGCGCCCGTGGCCGCCACTTTGTGCCGCCACCCCTCATCCTCCTCCTCCTCCTCCATCTCCTCCTCCTCCTCCATCTCCTCCTCCTCCTCCTCCCTCCTCCCTCCTCCTTCTTGTCGATGTGTCACTCAGCCTGTATGCTGATGATATGTTGAAGTTTCTTCTAGGGGGGCCCCACCAAGGGACCCGGGACCTTGCTCAGATGAGCGAGCGAGCCAACGCCCTCCTAGATCAAGCCTTGGCCGAAATCGGTTGCAAGCAAGACGTGAGCAAGAAAGACCTTATTCCTGTGCTTTCGGGGCCTGGGTCGGGGACCTATGCTCGTGACCTCAGAATGCAACGGGTCACCCTTCCCGCCCCACACTGCACGCACGCTAGATACTTAGGGGGCGAATCGGTGCTGACTGTAGCTATGCAGTAGAATATGCATACCGCAAGAAGGCGTTGGCGGCGTATTATTACTCGTTAGGAGCTTCATGGTCTTTGAAGCACACCCCGTGGAGGTTGAAGCGCATACTTCTTATATGCTGTGCACAAAACACCGCACTGCACTCGAATGAAGCCTATATCTGCTCCAAGCAACACTAGATCGAATTAGATCATTCAGTAGCACGCTACGCTAGGAGAGCGATGAGAGGAGCAGCCCACGAACTACGAGAAACAGAAACTGGACAACAGCATCGCGCACTGAACAGAGCACAAGTACAGGAGCACTGGCGAATGGCACCCGCTAGTCTCGAGATGCGGGTGCGATGCCTACGGAGGTATTAGACCATGATCGCCCACCAGTGGAGGAATGGCCAAATGACCACCTCCATGTTCGGTCACTTCCCGTTTGAAGACGCACCGACGCTGATTCAGGGAGACTTGGAACAAATGAGATTCCGTGGGCACTCCAATTTCGAGAGGATATACGCGAGGGAGTAGATGGGCTCGATGAGAGACGTGTATTCGGGCGGGGTGGTTACATGCGTTTACCGATGAGGAGGTGAAGGAGGAGTTCCTCAATCATGATTTTACAATATTGCAAAAACGAGCTTATATGTCAGCAGTTCCGCCACCAGAATGGCATCCCAACCAGTTGCCTACTCAAACTCCTACTACTGCTTCTGCAACTACAGGCGGAGGAGGATGGACATATGGGTTCGTCTTGGAAGATGGAACATCGTGCTCGGCTTGCTTCGACACGCATAAGGCGATCACACATCACAGGAGGGCCAAACATGGACAGCGTGACGTGTGGACTAGACTAGTGACGGCGCACGTTTGCCCATATTGCCTTCCCACGTTCAGTTGTGTGAAGACGACTCAGCGTCACCTGCTCTCGAGTGTGGCCAGAGGTGGGTACCGCTCGAGACATACAGGAGGGCGTCATCGTCCTGATCGTGTCGATTGTCATCTGTGTGAGTTTCGGGCCCAAGCCTTTGAGCAGCTACAGGAGCATCTACAGAAGCACGTGCCCCCCTTCAAAATATAATCTGAACTGGTACCAGCACATCCTCTTCGACACCGCAATGTCGTTCGCAGTCGCCGCCCCAGCTTGGGGCCTGAAGGGAGGCGCCGATTCCAGCTCAGGCGCAGAGGGGCCAGCCCGCAAGGTGCAGATTCAAGAGTTGCTCGCCAATGGCGGGGACGTGAGCACAGCCAAGAAGCTGCTCATCGTACTCACCAAATTAAGCTTGACAAACTCGGCCGAGATCAGAGAGATCACAGGACTATTGTGGACCACGGTGCTCGTAAACGTCAAGTCGCCCATCGCGGTCGAGATGATGACCCAAAGGAACTCGCACCACGAGGCGTCAAAAAATGGCCAAAGGAGACCCTGCCGCTCAAGACCACCTTGGCACTCCGTACGTGCACATATTCGCAGGCCTCATGCTCGGATTGTCGAAGACGCAGATAAAGCTCGAGACAGCCACCACGCAGTGCCTGACCGAGTTGTGGACGAAGGAAGTGGCAGCGGAGGGCAAGACACTAATCGATCTGCTGGGCAAATTGATGTACTGCAAAAACAAGGCAGCCAAGACCAAGGACGGGACGCCAGGCCTCGCCAAAGTGACGATCGCGATGAGCACGGAGTTCGGCACGGTGCAGATGGCAATCCTGGCGGCGCTGGTGCAGAGCGGCGGCATCAAGAAGCACGGTCCAGCTCCCAGGGGCCCCTTGGAGCGGGCCGCGCAGGAGCTCCTCGAGGTTCTCGAGGGTTCGTCGACGGGCAAGGAGAAGTCGTAGAGCTGGAACCTGTACGACGGCCACGGCGGCTGACGGCTATCCAGCGCATGCAGATTGGGCAGTTCTCTCGTCGTCTCCTGCAGATGGTGGAACGAGGTGAAGTGACACTTGAGGCCGCTCTCCGACACCCAGGTGTTGCTGCCGCCAGCCTGAAACTGCAGCCGCCCGCACGGCGGAGGAAAGGGAAGGGAACCAGGGGGTGGGGCAAGTGGCCGTGGTGGTGCTTCTCGGGCCGCCGAGCCTTCGTTCGGGGGCCAAGCTCATCCACCCACCCCGAACCCAAGCTATTTGTTGTTCCTCCACCCCCCCACAGACAGCTGAATGAAGGGATCCGCCGTGCCCTCCAGGGGCCTCTTCCCCAGCCCAGGCGCAGACCAGAGGGACAGTCTCTCTCACGGCGGCCAGCAAAGAAAACAGCACACTGCCGACGCTGCCATGCATGTTGGATTAAAACTCTGACCATGGAGCCGCCTCCAAAGCCCAAGCTAAGCTTTTGAGCAACTTCTCGGAAAAGGGGGGGCTGAGGCTGGATGCACGTCGGGTGCCAGTCGTGCCCTGGACGGTGGGGCTGGCCTTTGCGTCCCTGCCGTCCAGGGCTGGGTGGCTCGCTCTGCAGGTTGTCTGCCGGCGTGCACGTGCTGAAGTCGTAACAATAACACGTGATAGTAGCAATCTTCTCGAGAAGCCGCATTCTCATCCCACCACGCGGTGCATCTGCGTTGATCCAGCATGCGCCCAGAGCGTGTGTCAAAATCCTCTATCATCGTCGGCGTTAGACGTATTTCTAGATCGAGGTCGTCAAACACACATCAACAACATAACACCGTCGATTTCGGGGTCATCATGTCACCGCGCCTGCCAGAGCTATCGACCCGCATTGAAGCGCCCCTGCAAGCGCGGCCTTTGAGACGCGCTGGGGTTTCGTCATCGGTAAGCGCCATCGCGGCTGCAGCGGGTGTGCCCAACCAACTGGCCGCTCTGCGCGTGAGCTTGCACGCGCTGGCCCAACCGCAGAGACGCCGCAATCGCGGCCACACGGGCGGTGCAAAACACGTTGCGGGCGGGAGGGTGGAGTGGTTGCGCGAGCACTGGCATGGACAGCCCGCCTGTGAACATGAGTTACTTGCACCACGCAGCTTGCACCACATTCGGCTACATGTAAGAGTGACCGTGGGTAAGAGTGACCTTTGGTGCGCGACTTTTTGGGGGCCGCGGGGGGGGGGGCCAAACACAAGCGCGCAAGACGCCACTGCCGCCTCGCGTTCGGCGATCGGGGACCCCAATATGCCCGCACCAAAGGCCACTCCGGCGAAGGGTCACTCTCACGTGTAGTCGACACTTAGCCTGCACATCCACAGCGCCACAACCTGAAAGAATGTTTGGGGCGCGCGCAGGCTCGCCTGCAAGGAGCTGCACTTGGCACGCCGAGCTCTCGGCCGCCCGCCCGCTGGCGCCCCAGGGGCCCTCCCGGGCGCCTCGCGCGCCCGCGGGGTGGGGAGGGGGGGCGCCGAGGTCTTCGCGAAGGATGCCCGCCCGTGGGCGAACCTCGCGTGCAGTCATGGGCGCGCCGCGCTGGGGGAGGGCGTGGCGCCGGGGCTTCGCCCGGCGCCCGCCCGCGGGCGCCTCGCGGGCGCCCCGCGCCGGGGGGGGGCGCCGAGGCCTCGCCCTGCTGGCCTCGCGGGCGCCCCGCTCTGGGGGGGGGGGCGGCGGGGGCGTCGAGGCGTCGCCCGTCGCCCGCCCGCCCGTGGGCGCCCCTCCTGCGGGCGCCGACGCCTCCGCGGGTGCCCCACTCCGCCCGTGGGCCCCGTGGGAGCTCGCAGGCGCCCCCCGCGCGGGGAGGGGGGGGGGGGTCGCCGACACGTTGGGCCGGTGCCCGCACGCTGGGCGCCTCGCGGCTGCTCGTGGGCGCTCATGGGCGCCCGGCGCTGGGGGGGGGCGGTGGGCAGAGCACGCGGCTGCGGAGGAGCACAGGGCTCTGGAAGAAAAAAGCACACAGCCCGTGGAAGCAAGAGCACGCGCCCGTCTGTTCTTTCTTTTCCACCGGCTGTGTGTTTGTGTGTCCACTGTTTGTGCGCGTGTGTTTTCCACAGTGTGCGTGTGCGTGTGCGTGTGCGTGTGCGCGTGTGTGTGTGTGTGTGTGCGTGTGTGTGTGTGTGTGTGTGTGTGTGTGTGTGTGTGTGTGTGTGTGTGTGTGTGTGTGTGTGTGTGTGTGTGTGTGTGTGTGTGTGCGTGCGTGTGCGTGTGTGCGTGTGCGTGTGCGTGTGCGTGTGCGTGTGCGTGCGTGTGCGTGTGCGTGTGCGTGTGCGTGTGCGTGTGCGTGTGCGTGTGCGTGTGTTCGTGTGCGTGTGCGTGTGCGTGTGCGTGTGCGTGTGCGTGTGCGTGTGCGTGTGCGTGTGCGTGTGCGTGTGCGTGTGCGTGTGCGTGTGTGTGTGTGTTGGTGTGTGTGTGTCTGTTCCGCAAATGTGTCGAGGTTTCGGTTGGTGCCGCCCGTGAGCGCTACATAGCTTGCACCGCGTAGCTGACGCAACGCAGCACACAGTACATAACTTACAACACCGAGCTCAGATCACACAGCTCACACCACATAGCTAACAAACCATACCTTACACCGCATAGCTCGCAACGAACAACTCAAACCAAAGAGCCCACGCTGCATCGCTCACATCACATAACCTACGTACACCTTATATCCGCCACCGTGCCTCTGGCACGAAGTGGAGTACCCCAGTGCTCACGCAGCACTGAGAGGGCTGTGCTGCTGCTGCTGCTGCAGCCAGAATTGGAAGTCTCGAGTGGCCCACGCCGATCGCTTCCCGTGCTTTCCTGGGGTCCGCCGGGATCGCTCGCGCCCGGGAGGGCCCCAGCACGAGTCCAGACGGCTCCGCCAAAACTGGACAGAGAGGGCCTCACGTCGCCCCAACATCGCTCCAAGACGAGGCGCCCAAGATGGCCCCAGGATGGCCCACGAGGCCTCCAAGACGCCACACGAGGCCTCCAAGATGCCCCCCAAGAGGGCCCCAAGACGCGACCATGATGGATTATCCCAGGGCGTTTGAAAGATTATGGCGTTCTCGCCTGTTCGACTTTCCGACGCTCCAAGACGGCCCAAGGAGCCCCCAAGACCACCCCAAGACGGCCCAAGAGGCCCCCAAGAGGGCCCCAAGACGGCCCCACAGGGCCCTAAGACGGCTCAAGAGGCGCCCAGGACGGCCCACACCGAAAATCCGAGCCTTCTGCCACAAGGGACCCCAGGAGTCCCCAAAAGGCTCCAAGAGGCCCCCAGATGCCCCGAAGAGGCACCCCAAAGGCCCCCAAGAGGCCCGCAAGAGGCTCCCAAGAGGCCGAAAAGAGGCACCAGACTGATCCCCCGAAGAGGCCTCAAGACTGCCTCCAGAAGGCCCCCGAGATGCCACCCCACGATGTCCCAACGAACGTTCAACATGCTCCATGCCCATAGCGCAGGCACGGTGGCGGGATGGGCCGAAGGAGAGAAGGAAGGGAGGAGAAGGAGGAGGAGGAGGAGGAGGCGGAGGAGAAGGAGGAGAGGAGGAGGAGGAGGAGGAGGAGGAGAAGGAGGGAAGGAGGAGGAGGAGGAGGAGGAGGAGGAGGAGGAGGAGGGCCAGTGTAAACCCAAGAGTTATCCACGAAGTTGGATTTAACCCTCCCTCCAAGCTCCATTTTCGTAGGCCCCTACAGCGGTTCATTTCCATTGAAGGCACTGCCTCGTTGGAAGACAACCGTTTGAAGACCCTGAAGCATGCAAAAGCATTGTTCCCGGGATTTCAACGCCATGGATCAACCTGACTGCTGCGTCTTGACAAGCCAGAATCTCGCCAGAACACCATTTTGGGGACTTCAACACCCCGAACCAACACAACTGTTGCACCCCCATAAAACCCTGAATCGTTACAAACCATCATTTCTCGTACGTTGATCATGGGAGCCAATGAAACTGTTGCAATGTTTAAAAGGATGTGCGCGCGCTGAAGCGAGAACCAAATGTTGAAAACCACCCGCCCTTAATCCGTGAAGCTCTTGCCATGCATTTCCTTTAAAACGTTTGAAGCAAACAAAAAAAACGAATGTGCGCGGCGCGAAGGCGAGAGCCACCTTTTGAAAACGACCCGACCTCAATGCGGGAAACTCCTGCAATCTTTCAAACAACATATGTGCGCGGCCCTGAGACGAGAACCACATGTTGAAAACCGACCGCCCTCAATCCGTGAAGCTCTTGCATTTGCGACGCTAAGGCGAGAACCACAGTTTGAACATGACCCGCCCTCAATCCGTAAAGCTCTTGCAAGTTGTTAAAACGGATGTGCGCGGCGCTGAGGCGGGAGCCACGTTTTGAAAACGACCTGCCCTCAATCCGCGAAACGCTTGCGAATGTTGAAATCGAATGTGCGCGGCGCTAAGACGAGAGCCACACATTGAAAACGACCTGCCCTCCATCTGTGAAGCCGTTGTCACTTTTTGAGCTTCAGAATCATACATGATGGGGGGCAGTCTCAGGCGAAACGCCCGGCCCGCCCTAAACACTGGCCTCTGGGTGCGACAGGGAGACACGATTTATAAGGACAAGGGGTGGAGGAGGAGGAAGAGGAAGAGGAGGAGGAGGAGGAGGAGGGAATGGCCTGCCGCCGACGGCCCACGCGCAGGGTCCCCACTCGGTGGCGGCCACGGGGGTGCTGCCGAGGGCCGCGAGCACCCGGCCGCGGAGCGCCTGGAGGGCGGGCGGCGCGCCGCAGGCATCCTCTCCTGCTGCTCTGATCTCCGATCGCTTCGTCCTGCCCTCCTTCCCCTTCGCTTCCCTCCCTCCCTCCTTCAACGTTCCCCAGGAGGAGGCGGAGGAGGAGGAGGCGGAGCAGGAGGAGGCGGGGGAGGAGGAGGAGGAGGAGGAGGAGGAGGAGGAGGAGGAGGAGGAGGAGGAGGAGGAGGAGGAGGCGGAGGGGGAGGAGGAGAGGGAGGAGTGGAGAGGGGGGAGGAGGAGGAGGAGGAGGCGGGGAGGAGGAGTGGAGGAGGCGGAAGAGGGGGAGGAGGAGGAGGACGCCATCACTCCAAGTGTCCCTCGCGCTCCGACCCCCCCTCCAGCCACCACCCCCCCCCCCCCCCCCCCCTGCCCAGAGGCACGGCTGCAGGCTCCGTCGACATATATATATATATATATATATAGATCCACGGGCGTCTGCGCACCAAAAGGGGGGGCAGCGCCTACAGGCGCTGCACGCGGGGCCTCTCTGGCCGCGACGGCCCCGCAGGGGCTGCAGGTCGGAGGCGCTTGCAGAAGGGAGGAGCGCCGCGGGAATCTACCCGTGGGTCCTCTATAGTCAATGGGTCCTCTCGTCCCTCGTCCCGCCCTCACTTACTCCTCCCTCCCTTCACTCCTGCCCTCCCTCCTCCCTCTGCCTCCCCTGGACGTCGTCCGGCAGGCATGGCATGGGCTGAGTCGCTCTGGAGGTGGGGACGCATGACAACGACTCCGACGAAGAGCTGGACGACGGATGACGACGGACGACTGCGGACGGCGGACCACGACGCACATGACGGCGCAGCCACCCTCCGCGTCGTTGCCTGCGCCGCCGAAGGTCGCCGTGGGAGCAGGAAGACCGAGGCTTCCCTCATCCGTAGGCGCCCAAGCCCGACCCAACCGATAGCGATGTGATACGACACCAGACATGCAGCCGACTGCGAAGCAGCCGGATCGACCGCACCGCGGGCACCATTGCATCCTTCCCCCTCCATTCCTCACCCCCTCCCTTCCCCCCCCTCCTCCTGCCCTCATCCCCCTTGTCGTCGTCATCCACGCCGTCGGGCAGGGCAGGGCAAGCCCTGCAGTCGCCCTCCCCCTCTCTCTCTCCCTCCTCCTCCTCCTCCTCCTCCTCCGCCTCCTCCTCCTCCTCCTCCTCTTCTTCTTCTTCCTCCTCCTCCTCCTCCTCCTCCTGCTCCTGCTCCTGCTCCTGCTCCTGCTCCTGCTCCTGCTCCTGCTGATTGCTCCCCCTCCCCCTCCCCCTCCTCCTCCTCCTCCTCCTCCTCCTCCTCCTCTCCCTCCTCCTCCCTCCTCTCCTCCTCCGCCTCAGCCTCCTCCTCCTCCTCCTCCTCCTCCTCCTCCTCCTCCTCCTCCACCTCCTCCTCCTCCTCCTCTCTCTCTGTAGCCAGTTTGGCTCGAGGCCAGGGCAAGCTTCGAGGTCAGGGAGCGCTCACAGCCGGGAGCCTGGCTCACGCCATTCAGCGAGGCGCCCACCTCGGCCAGCATGATCTCTCATCGTGTATGGGCGGTTGCGCAAAACGGGCGAACCTCAGGGGCGGGAGCACGGGGCCAGCTGGAAGGCTCTCGTGGTCGACGCCGAAGCTGGTGCGCCTGGCCAACGGAAAACCCTGGCTAAGAATCGCAGGGGGGGGAGGAATGTGAAATGTGGATGATGATGAGGAGGGGTGTGGAATGTAGAATCCCCGAGGACGTCGACGCGCGCGGCGGCGGCGTCCCCGCGGCCGTCCGCTGGGCGCGGGTGTAGCACCGTGCAGATGCGGAAGGGCTCGGGGCCGATGAACGACGGGAGCCCGCAACGAGAGCTGCGTGCTTTCGAAGCCGCACCCGGCTTCAAAAGCACGCAGGTCTCTCAGTGCAGCGCAGCGCCTCCTGCCGTGCCGATCGCGCGCCCCCGGCCTCGACCGACGGGGCACGGCCGGCGGCAGGCCGCCCGCGCCGGCGAGCGGCGCCACGAGGCAGCAGGCGCGGGCGGCTGGCCAGCCGCCAGGGCGGGCGAGCGCCCCGAGCCTCCGCGGGCGCCCCGCACGGCGGCGGCCCTGCCCGCCGCTGCGCCCTGGCGCCCGTGGGCCTCCAGAACGCTCTCCCGTCGCGACGGCGGCTGGGCCCAGGGGCGGCCTGGCGAGGGGCAGCGGGGCAGCCCTCGGGGGCCTCCGCAGCCTCGGCGCAGTGCCCCCGCCATCGCCACCTCCAGCCGCCGGCCTCGGCACGGTCCGCGGCGCCTCGGGTGGCTGCTCGGGCGCTCTCAGGGCAGGGCGGCCGCCACGGCCGCCGCCGGAGCGGCGAGCCGCCGGAGGGCAGCGGGCTCCGCCTAGGCACCTCCATGTCGAGGCCCACTCCGGACGCCGCCGCGGCGCCCTCGCCGCCCAGCGCGCCAGGGACGGGGCCTGCGTCGGCGGCGGGCCCGCGGGGGGGGGAGAAGTGAGAAGGGGCGGGCCCTCTGAGAAGGCCTCCTCCTTCGCGCGTCCCCCCCCCCTCGCTCGCCGCCGACGAGGGGGCGCGGGCCGACCACCGGCAGCGGCGGCATCGGCGGGTGCCGCCTCCCGCGCCGGGCGGAGCGCACGGGCGGTGCCGCTCGACCTCGGCGAGGGCGCGGAGGAGGCGCGCGGCCGCGCGCCGCTCCGCATTCGGGCCTGCGGGGCGCGGCGCCCAGCAGCCGCGCGATGGGGGCGACGCGGCGCCTCGGCGCCGCGTCGCCGAGCGGCCTCCAGCGCCGACGGGCAACTGGGAGGAGGCCGGCGCGGAGAAGCGGGTGCGGGGCGGGGGATGGCCCGTGGCGCTGGCTCGGCGAATGGAGCGGAGAGCTCGAGCCGAGGATGCGCTATGAGGAAAAGGAGGATGAGGGGGGGAGGAGAAGGAGGAGGAAGGAGGAGGAGGAGGAGGAGGAGGAGGAGGAGCAGGAGGAGGAGCAGGAGGAGGAGGAGGAGGAGGAGGCGGAGGAGGAGAAGGAGGAGGAGGAGGAGGAGGAGCAGGAGGAGGAGGAGGTGGAGCAGGAGGAGGAGGAGGAGACAGATCAGGGGAGGGGGAAAAGACTGCGTCGCCGGGTTGAGTCCCATACCGGGATGCCCAACCAGAGCTTGCACCACCTCGGCGTTGCCACGGTCAGCCGCAGTATGATGGGCACGAGGCCCATGCTCATTCGCGTGGTTGATGTTTACGCAGGACTGCCTGGCGAGAAGTCGCACCAGCTCGTCGTGGCCGCGGGCAGCTGCGCCATACTCGCCATGTTCTCCCGCGCGGCTGGTGTCCTCGCTGGGCTGCTCGGCGAGAACCCGTACCACCTTGTCGTGGCCATAAGCACCTGCAACCTGCATGGCAACCGTCGCCTCGGTGAGTCGGCTGGCTGATAGGCACGCCTGGCTGCCCCGCGAGATCCTGCACCACATCGGCGTGGCCGCGGCCACCTGCGACAGGAACGGCAACATCCCCAATCCGAGAGGGCGCGCCGCTGGATGTTTCCTGGGGGGGGGGGGGGAACCCCTTCCCCCACCCCCCCCCTTTCCCCGATCCGTCGTCGGGGAGTCCCCCCCCTCCCCCCCTTTCCCGGTCCGTCGTCGGGACCCCCCCCCTACCCTCCTTTCCTGGTCCCTCGTTCCCCCCCCAAAAAAGGGGGGGTCCGACCTCCCCCCCCCCTGCCCTCCTTTGGCCGCCAAATTGGACCCCCCCCTCCCCGCCTTTCGCCACGGCGCCCCCTGGTTCCAGAACCCGACCCCTACCACCCCTAAAACTACCACCCCGACCACCCGTAACCCTAACCCCAAACGGCACTCAGCACTCACTATGCACTACTCACTACCCACTACTCACTACTCGCTACCCTCTACTCGCTGCTAACTACTCAAGACTCACGACTCACTACCCACTACCCACTACCCACTACTCAATACTCACTACTCACTACTCCCAACTCACTACTCACCATTCATCATTCACTACCCACTACTCAATACTCACTACTCACTACTGAGCACTCACTACTCAGTAGTGAGTACTCACTACTCACTACTCACTATCCACAACTCACTCCTCACTATCCGCTGCTCGCTACTCGCTGCCCCCTACACCTTACATTGCACTCGCTGCTCATTACTCACTTCTCACTACTCGCAACTCCCTACTCGTTAGTCGCACGTCACTACGCACCACTCACTACTCAGTACTCACTACTGACGACTCACTACTCACTATTCACTATGTTCTACTCGCTATTCACTATGCGCTACCCACTACTCACTCCCCACTTCTCAATTCCCACTACTCACTAATCACTAAGCCTATACTCGCTACTCACTACTCACTACTCGCTAATCCCCACCCGCTACTCACTACTCGCTACTGGCTACTTCCTCCTCACTACTCACTACTCACAATGCCCTACTCGCTACTCACTGTTCACTGCCCCCTACTCGCTACTCGCTGCTCACTACCCACACCCAACTACCACTACTCACTATTCACTACTCACTGCGCGCCCCCGCCTTTTCAATTACAGGGTGATCCAGTGGCGCGCTTTCCCGATCTGAGTCTTGGGAAACCAAAAAGTGAAGGGCAACGATAAGGGGGACTGGCATAGGGGTGGGTGCATCGACCTGGAATCGGCGATACATCGCCGACAGATCGGCGATCGGGCCCCTATCGGCGATCAATTGGCGATTGGGGGTCGATGCGTCCCCCCTTATGCCAACCCTTCCTATCGTTGCCCCCGAAAAAGGCACCGATACCGCTACTCCCTGGATCTCTCCCGGAGTATGTTCTGAACAGGATTTCGAGCCGAATCCAGCGGGCCCGACCAGGGCCTCTCCCAGGAGGCCCAGAGAGGGGAGAACGGGCAGAGAGTATAGCGGCATGGCCGGCATGGGAACCTCCTCCTCTGCCGAAAGTCGCCCGGCTGCTGTCCACGCCAGGCTGCTCGGCGACAGCTCGCACCAGCTCGCCGTGACCATTGTGGCAGCCCTGGG